CACTGCGCCTGCCTCTGTAACTTAACTTAACTGCACTGCGCCTGCCTCTGTAACTTAACTTTAACTGCACTGCGCCTGCCTCTGTAACTTTACTTAACTTTAACTGCACTGTGCCTGCCTCTGTAACTTTACTTAACTTTAACTGCACTGTGCCTGCCTCTGTAACTTAACTGCATTGGTTTGGAGCTGCCCTGCCCTGGCATATAGTTAGAGTTAGGTGGAACAATTATAAAAAGTTACAGGTCCTTTTTTCTATCAGGTTTTTGTGTAGAAAATATGTGGGCCTAGAGGGTGGCTGAGTCATAGCTACCATAGAATCCCTCATTGACCACCTTGTGTTGTCTTGCAGGTCTCTGATGCCTATTTTCTGAGGATCTACCGTTTGATGTTGAGAAGCAGCAGTGAGAAGATATCTCAGGGCATTTTGTTCAGCAGAGTGTTTCAAATAAGGGTTGCGGTCACTGTGCGAGTTAGTCTCCTGCTGCGTGTCAGAGTGTGTCTGTCTGTGAGAGTCGGTGGGTCAGGGTCTGCTTGTGTGCATGTGTGTCGAGTGGTTCTAACCTCGTATGTATGGCTTTTGCTTTCCAGGACTTGCAATTCACTTTTAAATTTAGAATAAAAAATCCCCAGCTGGGGGGTTTTTTTTTTTTTCCCTCCCAGCTGGGGTTTTTTTTCCTCGGTCCCGGCCGGTCTGCGAGGCGACAGTCATCGCCAAAGTTTGGGCACGGGCCGGCCCCGGACCGAGGTTTTCGTCAGGCAGGCTGAATTTGAGGCCCCCCGGGAACCGAGTTCCCGTGGGGTAGGAGGGGGGTGTGTGTTTGTGTCGAGTGGTTCTAACCTGGTATGTATGGCTTTTGCTTTTCAGGACTTGCAATTCACTTTTAAATTTAGAATAAAAAATCCCCAGCTGGGGGGGTTTTTTTTTTCCCTCCCAGCTGGGGTTTTTTTTCCTCGGTCCCGGCCGGTCTGCGAGGCGACAGTCATCGCCAAAGTTTGGGCACGGGCCGGCCCCGGACCGAGGTTTTCGTCAGGCAGGCTGAATTTGAGGCCCCCCGGGAACCGAGTTCCCGTGGGGTAGGAGGGGGGTGTGTGTGTGTGTCGAGTGGTTCTAACCTGGTATGTATGGCTTTTGCTTTCCAGGACTTGCAATTCACTTTTAAATTTAGAATAAAAAATCCCCAGCTGGGGGGGTTTTTTTTTTTTCCCTCCCAGCTGGGGTTTTTTTTCCTCGGTCCCGGCCGGTCTGCGAGGCGACAGTCATCGCCAAAGTTTGGGCACGGGCCGGCCCCGGACTGAGGTTTTCGTCAGGCAGGCTGATTTTCAGGCTCCCGGGAACCACGTTCCCGAGGACCAACGACAGCAGGATTATAACGGGGCGGTGGAGAGGAGAGCGAAGGTGAGTACGTGTGTGAGCTGAAGCCGGCTTCTGTGGCGAATGAGTATTCTGTTTTCTGTGTGCTCCTTGTGGTTTGGCATAGCAGTAATAATGAAACAGCATGTATTGACCTTTCCAGAACTGTAGAAATAGTTATATTCTGTTAATATGTATTTGGCTTGTATTGTTCTGTATTTGCATTTGCTGCTGCGTTTTGCTGTATTACTCTGTATGTGAATTAGGAATTTTTCAGTGTGTACATGGATTGTATTGTAATGCATTTGTCTCCAGTTTCTCTGTGTTTTGCTGTAGTGTAAATAAATTCATTAAATAAAGGTGAATAAACCTTCATCCCCCTCCCCCCTCTCCCCCCTGGCTCTTGTGTTTTTGGTGTGGTGTAGTCATTATTTTCATTCTATTTCTTGCTTTTCAATCTCTTTCTAACTTTCTCTAAGTCTCTGTCACTGTTGCTCACTCTATTTTTCTGTTTCTTTTCTCTCCAACTCTGTTTCCTTTCCCTCTAGCTCCGAGTTAGACAGAAAGCAACTGGACTTGCTTCCTTTCCACCGTAACTCCGAGTTACGGTGAACAGGAATTGTCTCAGTTTCCTTTCTCTCTGCCTCTGAGTTAGAAAGAAAAGAAATAGAGTCGGTTTCTCTCCACTCTCCCTCGGTTTCTTTTCTCTCCAACTCTGTTTCCTTTCCCTCTAGCTCCGAGTTAGACAGAAAGCAACTGGACTCGATTCCTTTCCACCGTAACTCCGAGTTACGGTGAACAGGGATTGTCTCCGTTTCCTTTCTCTCTGCCTCTGAGTTAGATGGAAAGGAAGTAGAGTTGGTTTCTCTCCACTGTCCCTCTCTTTCTTTTCACTTTGACTCTGTTTCCCTTTTCTCTGTACCTCTGACTTAGACTTAGTTTCTTTTTGCTCTCACTCTGTTTCCCTTTTCTCTGTGACTGTGACTCTGACTCAGTTTCTTTTTGCTCCCCCTCTGTTTCCCTTTTCTCTCTGACTTGGATTTAGTTTCTTTTTGCTCTCACTCTGTTTCCCTTTTCTCTGTACCTCTGACTTGGACTTAGTTTCTTTTTGCTCTCACTCTGTTTCCCTTTTCTCTGTAACTCTGACTCTGACTTTGACTTGGACTTAGTTTCTTTTTGCTCCCCCTCTCTTTCCCTTTTCTCTGTGACTGTGACTCTGACTCAGTTTCTTTTTGCTCCCCCTCTGTTTCCCTTTTCTCTCTGACTTGGATTTAGTTTCTTTTTGCTCTCACTCTGTTTCCCTTTTCTCTGTGACTCTGACTTGGACTTAGTTTCTTTTCACTTTGACTCTGTTTCCCTTTTCTCTGTACCTTTGACTTTGTTTCTCTTCAGTCTCTCTTATTTTCTTTCCCTCAAACTTAAACTCATTTCTCTTCTCTCTAACTTCTTCTTTTGCTTTCTAGCTTAAACTTTAAACTTAGAAAAAGCAGCAGTAGAACCTTTCGTGCTCCCGGGGAGTAAAAAAACAAATTAAAAATTATAAAGTACATACCACTTACTCCCCGGGAGCACGAAACCTTCTACTGCTGCACCAGACTTATAGTTTTTATTCTTTTTCTTTATAGTATATATACTATATAGGGGGCCCCCGCCCCCTCCCACCTACACTCATACCTAGTCCCCACCCCTATCCCACTCTCACTCACTCCTGACACACCAATGACCCTCCCCTAGCACTCACCCAAGCCCTTCACCCACCCCTCCTGCACACCCCCCATCCCCAAGCACTCACCCTCACTATACACCCCCCATCCCCTAGCACCCACTCCCACTATGCATCCCCAAGCACCCATCCCCAAGCACCCACCCCCCTAT